TTACTCGCGCTTTGGCTATTCCTTTCTTTATATCATGCAACTGCTAGTTAAGTGTGACAGGATTTTATTGATATTCATTTTTTTTTTACATATTTGATACTTCGTCACACAGCACTCTTTGTCGAGACTTCACTCGATAAAGTCGCTTTAATTCATATTTTTCATGAAAAGTTAAATAGCAGATTATCAGTTTTTGCAACTACTTTACTTTTTGGGTGAAATTAAATAACGAGTAATACCACATGCTAATACACTATTCAAATTAGATGATAAAAAAATAAAGATTCATCAAAACATGCAAAATTAGTGAAGAAATGAAGATGATAAAACAAAAATAAAGACTCGTTTTACTTTGCAAAATTAATTAACAAGTTACTTCAAGAAAAATAAAAACATAATATCATGCAAAATCAGTTAACAAAAATAATAAATTAAAACGCATATATCCACTGACACTAATAAATGAAATTCTTTGAAGTAGACCTAACGCTTTCCCAAAGACCGGAAGACGAGACGTTCCGACCTGACAGTCAGCATATTCCCATCAAGAATACAACAGAGCGTATGTGATATATCGCTCTTCTATCACTGTGGGCAGACATCATATACTCGAAACGCTTGCGTGTCCTTAAGTATTCCAGTTTCTGTCTCTGTCGTTCGCTAGTGTGTGTGTGCGTGTGTGTGTGTATATATATATATATATATATATATATATATATATATATATGTGTGTGTGTGTGTGTGTGTGTGTGTGTGTGTGTGTGTGTGTGTGTGTGTGTGTGTGTGTGTGTGTGTGTGTGTGTGTGTGTGTGTATGTGTGTGTGTGTGTGTGTGTGTGTGTGTGTGTGTGTGTGTGTGTATGTGTGTGTGTGTGTGTGGTGTGTGTGTGTGTGTATTGTGTACATATATGTATATACATAGATATAAGTTAATAATAAAGAAATAAATAGAAATAGAAAGGGTTTGTGTACGGAAGGGCATCCTATCCTTAAAAACCTAGCGAAGTCCACTGTGGAAAGCCAATACCACTTACAAGTAGACAGCCAGGGCGTACCCTGTTTAAGCGACGGGAAAGGTCCTCGCCTGACCCCTTCGATAAAAGGGTAAAGGAGATGTACAGATGTACAGGAAACTGCATTGGTATAAAAGTAATGGGCACACCATGAAGCTATTTGAGGAGAGTGCTGGATGCAAGGATAAGAGAAGGTATAGATGTTAGTGAGCAATTCGGGTTTATGCCAGGTAAAGGTACGACAGATGCCATCTTTATATTAAGGCAACTGATGGAAAAGTATGCAGAAAAAAACAGAAAGATCTACACTTAGTGTTTATAGATTCAGAAAAGGCTTATGATTGAGTACCGAGACAACTAGTATGAAGATCCATGCGGGAAAAGGGAGTTGCTGAAAATATGTAAGATTAGTAAAAGATATGTACAGGGATGTAACAACACAGGTAAGAAGCAGTGTAGGACTGACAGAAAAGAAAAGAAAAGTGTACAGGTAGGATTCCATCAAAGGTCTGCGCTTAGCCCATACCTCTTACATCGGGTACCCTGTGTGATAAGGAAGTTAACTTGAAACTGAAAGGAAAGGTATATAAAAGTGTTGTCAGGCCTACAATGACACACAGGGCAGAGACTTGGCCAATTAAAAAGGCCAAGGAAAGAAAATTAGAAGTAGCAGAAAAGCGGGTGCTTAGATAGATGTGTAAAGTGACCAAGAGCGATAGGATTAAAAACGAGACGATAAGGGGTAAAGTAAAGGTAGCAATAATATAAAAAAAACTACAGGAAAGGAGACTACAGTGGTATGGTCATGTAATGAGGAGGGAAGATGACTTTGCGAGTAAAGGGATAATGGATAGGGAAGTCGAGGGTGAGAGGAAATGGGGAAGACCAAAAACCCGGTGGAAAGATAGAATATCAAAAGCTAAACCAAGACCTGGTCCACGATCGAAGAGAGTGGCGAAGGCGAGGACGGAATAGCGACCCCATATAAAAGGGGAAAAGCTGTAGCAAAAGAATATATATATGTATATATATATATATATATATATATATATATATATATATATATATATATATATATATATATATATATATATATACATATATGTGTGTGTGTGTGTGTGTGTGTGTGTGTGTGTGTGTGTATGTGTGTGTGTGTGTGTGTGTGTGTGTGTGTGTGTGTGTGTGTGTGTGAGTGTGTGTTTGCGTATTCATGTGTGTGTAAGTGATCTTGTATTAGGCATCGGTTTATACGAATGCTGCACTGGTGTTCGTTAATCTCTTCCACATTACCAAAGTAAATGATCTGATACTAATTGTCACTGATTTCATTGCCTTGTCCTTGGTTAAATGCAGTCTTGAAAGAAGCCATTTCGCTATATCCACCGACGCCATTCCCACTTTCTTTTAGCCCGAGTAATATAATCAAGATATCCCTCACCAATTACCTTTTTTAGGTGTAGTTAGACAAAAAGCAGCAATGTTTGCACAACTGCATTTTTTCAGTGGCTAGATTTTATAGACCTAATTCTTGAAAATGACGTAAAGGACAATGTAGCAGTGACAAAATATGATATTGAACAAATAGTCATAAAATACCAAACATATTAGATAAAATAGTTTGGTTCCATGGTGTCCCTCATTTCCTCATCGCCTCGAAACCATCCCTACAATACGAATGATTTCATGCTGTATTAATAATCCCAATCTACAGGAATCTTCGAAAATAAAGTAAAATCGTCCAGAAACAAGATATGGTGTTAATAAACCTTAACCTGACTACATGATATATATAAACATATAAATATATTTCTACACACATATATACACAAACTAAAAATGAAAATCACTATATTTGCATTAAAAAAAATCAAGGGAAACCGAGTCCATACTTGATGATCCGTCAAGATTTCGACACCGGACCAACAACATTGCAGAAGTGTCAAGTGGGATATCTCGTGCAGGGAAAGCGGCGGTTCTATGGTGTTGCACCTGCATTTACGTCCATCCCATCATACTGTTTGAGTGAGTGATTATAAAATCAAATGATTAACAATATGAGCTATGTAATAATGTCGGTAAAGAGTAATTGAAATAAATTGTGGTAATTGAGGTGGTTCTGGCAAGTAATTTCACAGCTGTTATCACGGTTATATCATATCTGTAATGTTACTTTTAATGAAGAGATGCATGACTCTTTGCGCTGTTTTAAAGCGTAATAATTATCTCTTATATATACATATATCTCGTGAGTTTTGTAGTAGTTCCTGTTCTTCTTAATATTTAAGATGGTTGTATATTTGTGGCATTAAATGAATATATACCAGTAGTAAAAGACAGTGATTCATCACATCATCAGTATCTTGTAATTTAGATAATACATATTATTCAGAATGGAGTGTATAACATGTGCACCTTAGGTATATGTTCCTCTTAAATCCGTTGCTCACTGATCAGACTGTAGGTTAAGGCAAGTGCACACCATATATGTGTTTTTAATACTGGTATTTCTTCACCAAACCATAAAAGGTTTTATTTTGCCTGTAAAATCACACAGGGTTTCATCTACTTGCCCCGGGTTAGTATAATGTCCGCTATAGTTTTTTGTGAATTTTGTTATTTACAGATGGCTCCATATTTGCTCAGCTACCAAGGAGTCAGTTGTAGGCCCTAGTGACTGCACCTGATTTCCCTTTTCCTTGAATTTATGGCAAAATATATATTTTTTCTTATATTATTAATTTAGTGTCGCCAGGAAAATGCTGTGCTCATTTTTTATTTTTTTGTGAAATGTGCATGCACATAGATGGCTTTGCTAGTTCCTAGTCACAAAAGAGTCCGTTAGATCCTGTTACATTATCTAATTTCACCTTTCCTTGAATTGGCAGGAAAAACATGTTTTTTGCTAATGCTATGAATATTGATGGCATTATTTTCATTGTAGACATTATAATTAACCCATTGCTGCCGGCGAAAATGAACAAAATATGGGGAAAATGCTGTGCATATTTTCTATATTTTTTTTGTGAAATGTCTGCCCATAGATGGCTCTGTTAGTGCCTGATTTGAAATGGCAGGAAAAACATATTTTTCACTAGTACCATGAATATTGATGGTGTTATTTTTATTATAAACATTATAATTTTTATAATGTTTTTTAACATTAGTAACAGCAAAATAAGATAACGTAAAATATTTCGTAAATCAAAGAAAAGGGTGAACGGGCGAGACAGGCGGTACTCATAACTGGCTCATTGGGGAGTTAGTACAAGTGTAGCCATCTATGTGTAAAAACAATCCAACAAGTAATCTCACATTGGGCATGGCATGGCATGCCCGTCGGCAATGGGTTAATATAATGGTATAGACATTAGTAACAGCAATATAAGATATTTTTGAAAATCAAGGAAAAGGGTAAACAGGTGAGATGGGCAGTACTCATAATTGGCTCATTGGTGACTTAGTACAAGTGTAGCCATCTATGTGGAAAAACAATTGTCAAAGTAAACTCAAAGTGGACATGGCATGTACATACATGCCATGCCCATTGAATTTGAGTTAATATCAATACTTATTATTATTATTATTGGTATTATGATTAGACAATTATAATGTTGAAATACTAATAAAAATAAAATTATCAAATTATAGAAATGAAGCTTTCCAAAAATCTAAGAAGAGGGTAAATAGGTGATATAGGTAGGACTAATAATTAACTCCTTGGTGACTAAGCACTTGTAGAACTATCTATGTGTAAGGACAATTAATAAACTAATATTAGTGGGCATGGCATGCATTCTTTCCATCTGAGCTGAATTGGTTAATTTATATAACAGCTGTGTTACATGTCAGATGTTGTTTGTTATTCATTTTGAATTTATCTTTGGATCTTTACATATTTTTCTCCATATTAGGGATGTTATTACACATGAGATGAATCACCAAATATCAGCTTCAATTAGCTTGTTATTTACAAGCAAATTTGTAAATATTAGTTTATTGTTTCATAAATGATTTCTGTTTTTGATAATATTTTTCACAATATCTGGTAAAAAAGTATACACTGTTTGTCGTAATTAAATCCATCCAATTCCTGATTTTTTTGTTAATAAATGTACTCACTATCTATTGATTGAAGATATAACATTTTAAAGATGCAGCATGCTTGTATCCCTCTTCTTACTGAAAAAGAAAGATTTTCACTTGTTTTTACTAACCCATTGGATCTGGGTGCTTTATTGCCCATGTGTGGCCCAAAATCTGGCCATACTTACTTGAGTGGCCACTCTCACAGGTGTGTATCTTGTAGGCGGTGCAAAGATTCCATGCCTCCCCTTTGCAATATTATCATCTCTTCCTGCATAATCATTTTTTTTTTTTTCTATTTTCCATTGTCTATATTTGTCATTTGATATGGGGTATCTAATTGATGATAGACCGTTTTCCTTGAACAGACTCTATATTATCTCTCTGGATAGTCCATAACTCATTGCAATTATAAAAACAATAAGTGTTTTTTTTTTTCTAATATTCAATTTTCTGTAATACAACCTACACTGATGGGTGTGGTGGGTAAGAATAGGATCCTGAGCAGGGAAGGTGTTCTACCTAGAGCCAGTCATCCAGTCATGGGTCATTGATTGTACATTCCACACTCATTTACAGAGAGGAATAATACAAGAGTCCCTTTCTAACTGCCCATTAAATCTTATCCCCCTCCAAGAGCTTTGTGTACTCTGGCAAGTCATTCCAGTCAGCTCCGAGCTCCAGCCAAAATTCTCATGATGGCATGTTCCCGTCACCCTCTCCCTCAGTCAGATTTTTCCATGATGGCATGTTCACATCACCTGACCCAAAGCCAATTTTTTTTCATGACGTTATGGTCATGTCACAAGGATCCAATGGGTTAACAGATGAAGGTAATGCACCATATGATTGTCAAAATATTCCAACAATTACTAATATTTATGTAGGAAAGCTTAACTCACTGTTTGAGTCTTTGTCAACATTTTTTCATATGTTGATCCTGTGTGGTTTTAGACTTCTTGTTCAGTTTATCACCTGTGATAAGTATAATACAGATGGATTGAACAAACAAACCAAAAGGATGACAGTCACTGAAATATGTATTCTGAAAGTATACAAATAACAGAGATGTAAGTAGCCTCCTGGACATCTCTCTAGTTCATTGGGTTTTGCCATATTTACAGTAATTTATTCTATTTACAACAGGACTACCACTCAAGCATTTGCTGCATGAATTCAGAAAAGAAATGGCCTTATTTTATATGCATAGAGGGTGTACAGCTGCTTGTGCATATAATTTCAATCTTTTCACACAGTGAAATACACTCTGAGAATGATCCTCCTAAAATTTGGCAGATAAATATACTGTATTACTGTTATTTAATGAATTTAAGTGCAAAGAATGGAAGACCTTTACAAATTATAATAAATACAGACATTTTATAGTTGCTCATTGCATATATTACCAAAGTGACTGTATTGGAGGTATACATTGGTTAGTAACAAGTAATTGCTTTAATGTAAAGTGAAAACTGAAATATTTTATAATTTCTATGAACCCTATAGTTCTGAGAAAATATATACCTGTTATTTTTAATTTTATCATGTTTATTTTCTGAGAGATATTTTTAAATTTCTAAATCATATTCTATTTAGACTTTCAGGTACAGAACAAAACTGTGTAATGAACACGGTTGGTTTGGCTATTTTAGTGAGAATGGGCAACTGCCTCTGTGCTAAGGAAACTATCAAAGTGAATGGTCGCAGATACTATGTTAGAGAACGTCTAGGAGAAGGGTAAGTGTTCATTGTATGTATTTTGATGCATGAATTCTTACAGAGTTGTTTGTTTCTTGGCAACGTGTGATCCTGACCATAAATCTTCAAAGCATAAAATTGAATTTGTTATGGAGGAGATCATGTTATAAACGGAATAAGAAAAAATACAATTTGCAAAATATTAGATGTTAATCATATTGATATTGTCACTAATAATAATTATTTTATTCTCTATCAACAGGGGATTTAGCACAGTAGATCTTATTGAAGATGCAGCATCACATAAACTTTATGCACTTAAACGTATCACATGTCACTCTCAGGAGGATCAAAAGGTAGTTAATTTATATTTCATACTAATGTTGGAAGTGTTTTTTTTTTAATTTATGTCCTATATGCTGCAAAATATGTAGTTATTATCTGTGTATATAGTTCAGGGGAATATATATCTTTTTGTGGTTTGCAGGGCAAAAAAAAAAAATTGTTGACGTTAATGATATCTACAATTTGTTTCTTTTTCTCAGGTTGCATTAACAGAAGTGGAGTATCACAGGTCACTAAGCCATTCCAATATAGTAGAATGCATAGACTCGGACCTTGTAGGAGTTCCAGACCTCATGGGAAATCGCACCTCACAAGTCCTTATTGTATTACCATATTGTCAGGTGGGTTGTAAATGCTTCATTGTAGGTTTAACATCTTTAATCATGGTTGTACTGACCTCCTTGTCACAAACTAAATGGCATTGCACAGTGAGAGGCATAATTCTTATGGAGAGGCATTTTTTTGATATATCAAATTTTCATTAAAATATGCTTTATAAAAACATTTGACAGAATGGAAATTGTATGTACTTAAAACTGAGGATGCAGGTGCATTGAGTTCAATGAACAAACTACTATAGTTAGATCTTCAATGACTGAGGTCAACAGGCATACTAACTACTTAACCCAAAGGCCCTGGGAAAATGTTGTGTTCACTGTAGTATTGTTTTGTGAAATGTCTGTGGATATAGATGGCTCTGCAAGTGCTTAGCCACAAAGGAGACAATTAGTAGACTTTGTGACCTCACCTCCACCTTTCCTTGAGTTTGCAGGAAAAATGTTTTTGTTACTAATGCTATCAATATTGATGCTGTTATTTTTTTATGGACTTTATAGTTATTATAGTGTTACTGACATTGTTAACAGCAATGGTAGGCACCAGAAAATATTTTTGCAAATCAAGGAAAAGGGTAACCAGGTAGATAAGTAGTACTCGTAATTGGCTCATTGACTTAATACTTTTGGAGCCATCTATGTGTAAAAGCAATTGATAAAGTAGACCCTTAGTGACCATGGCATATATGTACATATCATCCCAGCAGCTTGGGGTTAAGCACTGAGGGTGGTAGGAATGCAAGAAATAAGGGGTCCAGATACATAAACAGTTTCTGGATGTGTATTTTTCTATAAGGTACTTGAACATTCTTGCAAAAATACAAAATATTTTAACCCATTGCCACCGGGGAAAATGAATAAAAAATGGGGGAAAATGCTTTGCTCATTTTTTATATTTTTTGTAAAATGTCTCTACACATAGATGGCTCTACCTTACCTGATTTCACCTTTCCTTGAATTGGCGGGAAAATGTATATTTTACTAGTGCTATGAATATCAATGGTGTTATTTTTATTATAAACATTATAATTACTATAATGTTATAAACATTAGTAATAAGATAACGTAAAATAAGATAACGTAAAATAAGATAGCATAAAATATTTTCGTAAATTAAAGAAAAGGGTAAACGGGCGAGACAGGCAGTAGTCGTAATTGGCTCATTGGTGACATGCCTGTCGCGAATGGGTTAAAAAGAGATGTAACCTGTCTGCATAGGTAATCCTTTTCTGCAACTTTGTATAGGCTGGATCATGTAAATGTTTCAAATTATCACTAAAGCATTTTATGTTTCCTGCTTAACCCATTCCCGCCGGGCATGCCATGCCATGGCCACTGTGAGATTACTTGTTAGATTGTTTTCACACATAGATGGCTACACATGTACTAAATCACCAATGAGCCAGTTACGAGTACCGCCTGTCTTGCCCGTTCACCCTTTTCTTTGATTTACGAAATATTTTACGTTATCTTATTTTGCTGTTACTAATGTTAAAAAACATTATAAAAATTACAATGTTTATGATAAAAATAACACCATCAATATTCATGGCACTAGTGAAAAATACGTTTTTCCCTCCATTTCAAATCAGGCGCTAACAGAGCCATCTATGGGCAGACATTTAACAAAAAAATATAGAAAATAGGCACAGCATTTTCCCCATTTTTTGTTCATTTTCCCCGGCAGCAATGGGTTAAAAAAAAAAAAAAAAAAAAAGGTTTTGACGAGATTGTATTCTTTTATGTTGCATTTCCCATTTTTAATGATTGTCTGACTTGGAATACCAGAGTATTGCTTCTAATAGAAGAAATATTCATGTACCTCTATTTCCTTGTAGAGAGGAACATTACACGATGAACTGATGCGCAGACAGAAAACAGGAACTCATCTAGATGAGGTAAGTCTCTGGATTTGTCATATGAGATCAAGTTTTTTAGTCCTCTCCTAAAAATGTTCAGAATTTGATTGATGAAGATTTTGCATTAGAATAAAGTAATCACTTTAATATGATCATGAAATATTTCAGAAATATACCAAAAGAGTAATTTCCAGTTGGTAATTTCAGTTTTCAAGGATAATACTGTTGCCTTGTGTATATTTCACATTTCTTTTATATATGTTCTGAGATTACTTTGACATACTTTTTTTTTGTCCTCCTAGAAGTAGTAGGTGGGAATATGTCTGTTGCTTCATGCATTTAAAATCTTTATCTTCATAATCCATGAAATTTTGAGAAAACAGTGGAATTTGACACTCACAGACATACTAGGGAAATTTCAGGGAGGCTTACATGTAATAGTTTTGGACTTGAGGACCTGCTGCTTTTATTTTCCTTTATCCAGTGTTTATAGCACAAGTGCATGAAGAATAAGATCCAGGAAAGATTTCTTAATTGATGTGCACAAATCACAAGCTTAGTAAGAGGCAGGACCAACATTTCAAAATGGACCAGCTGGTCTTGTGCTTTATTTCATAAACAGGGTAACTAACAGTTATGATTTTATCTAGGTGGTGGTGTTGACTCTGTTCCGAGGGATTTGTGAAGCTGTGCAGTGCATGCATAGTGCCAAGCCACATCCACTGGCACATCGGGACATCAAAACGGCTAATGTTCTCATAAAAGATGACTTAACGCCACTCCTCATGGATCTGGGTGAGTGTGTATAGTTCTTGCCAATATAGTCAGTATAATGATGGATTTTATTATGGGGGGATATTTCAGAGAAATATTTGTGATGTAGTAAGGCAGAGGCACAGATATTTTTGCTTTGTTTACTTATTATATTATTTATTTTTACCTATTAGAAGTATATACCATTATTAGAAAGGCAAGGTTGATTATAAAAATGTGATTATCTGAGGATCTGAGATGTGTAAAAAGATATATATAAATATTCTTGCCCTTTTCATGAAGTTCAGACTTTCTTCCTTTTTTCCATGTTCATGTTATTTTAGTCCTTGATATTTTTTCTCAAGTATTCATTATGAATATAATAATTTTAGGAAGAAATATATGTGTAATTTTTTTGAAGTAAAAAAAATATTTATTTTTGAAATAAGATCATGAATAGGGATTTTATTTTTTTACTCCCAGTCTGTTCATAACTTGAAAAACCTGTCAGCCTGTTAAACTGATATTTTTTTCTTGTTCACCATTACCAATCTGTTATTATCTTAACTCTTTTAAGAAGATTTGTTGTAAGTCTGTTGCTTAAGTTTATCATTAATGAATGATGTAGACCCAAAAAAGTTATACTATTAAGCAGGCAGTTTTCTCTGATGCCAACATGGAGTCTACATTGCTTCAAAATAATGATAATGTCATAGATCACTAGTGATGCGATTTAAAACTTTGAAATTGTAAATATTTATCTAATAATTATGTTTTCACAACAGTATGTTAAAACAGTGTCAAGTAAAAGTAAAGTAATTGGCCGTTTTACAGACATACTGGTTCATAAGCAGTTTAATGACTGTTTCCTCTGGAGTAACCCAGTTTTTTATCTGTATTCTCAAAAAATTGTTTGTTATATATGTTTCATCACAGCATTGGGATGTTTCAAAATTCCACTTCTAGGAGCATGAAGTACATAATGATTGTCCTAAAAAAATTAAAGTTATGACAAGGTGAGCATATTTGACACTGTGCTGGGATACTCATATGATGTGAAAGAGTACCCTATTTTTTGTTCTTATCTTAGCTTAGTGGGTGAGCGCTTGATACCAAGGGTGATATGAAACAGTGGTATTGGTAGCTGGCACTATTTGCTTGTTTAATTTCTCACTCATAGTTGTCACTGCTTACCAGTGTGGTGTGAAAAAGGGAACAGTTATGCATAAGCCTTCTACATCAGTACCTAGCTTCTCCTTCATCAAGACCTACATTTTTCCTTGTGGCTATCCATGTTATCTCAGTACCTTGCTGTGCTTAGCGAAGCTGGAGAAATTCTTGGAATAGCAGGAAGCCTTAGATGTATGGGGCCATTACCCACTTGGCCCTGGATATACTCTGACTTCATACTAACTCATACCCTTCTATGCTTAGGGTCTGCTCATTCTGCCTTCCTGACAGACCTATTGGGAGATACTCAAGGCAGGCTGTGGGTTATGTAGAGAGGATGGTCTTTAGGCCGCAGTTGGGTAGCAGGGGAAACCCATCCCACTTGTGATCCGGTGGGCACTAACCCAATGAGAGGCATGTGGGGCAAAGCCTCCTGGAACCCTACCCTGGAACCTGCTCCACCTTTGTTTGTGGCAGTGCTGGGGAAGGTTGATTGCCACTACTCTCAAGGGAACTGAGAGGACTGAAGGTGGGGTTGGCTTCCATCTTAGTCGTGAGATGACCTGACAATGGCTATCTGAGGAGATAGCCATGGCCATCTCCAGTAGAATTTAGCCTCTGGTATTAGAGGTAGCTCCAGTTATTGGGTATATAATAGTATTGAGACTCCTTCAAATGCATATATCTATGATGAAAAAAAAACTGTTTTATGCCAAATTTACCTTCATGGTAGATAACTTTACTCCATATTTTACTGGGTGAATACAGTGTGGTGTCTGGCTGTGAATGAGGTTCCATAGATTGAGAATTTTTGAATCCTGGTATTAACATCTATCCTATATTTTTAGACCTGGTAAAGAAGCCAAAAAGAACAACTGCATCTTATCAGCAGATAGAACTGCAGAGTTTACTAGAATAAATAGTTCAGAGGTACTGATCATAAATTGGCTATGGCTACCCTTTGGGCCCACATTTGGTGACTGCCAGGGGGGTGGGGGGTTCTCTATGGTATTTTGGCATAGCTATTTCTAATTGCTTTACTTCATATTAGTATGAGACACCTTCACTTTTGAAATACTTTATGCTGCTCAGGAGTTCATTCTGGGATTTGTACTGATTCCTGATGTGTAGGATGCAGATGTTTCTGACTAGGGACAAGGAACAGCATATCACAATTCATGCTGAAGAGGCTGAAGGCAAATTTCTTTGAAAATTACTTTTTTTCCAAGCTTAAGAAAGCTCAACTGAAAGCCGTCCTCATGCATGACTATAATTAATTCAGTAAATGAACAGATAATCTCAGATCATCTTAAAGAGATAGGCTTGGAGCAACAGTTTCAGGTTAAGCCACAGACATATAGCATGGATGTGGGTGAAGTTGTGATCCCCCAGAAACTTTCAACCCTGCCAGACATTAGGGAGATGATCTCCAAACTGAAGGTTATTTGTAGCATCCTTGCTGAAATGCTGAAGTCAGATGGTGGATGTAGATTGCATGCTGGTCATCCCTCTCTGGAAGTGGAAAGAAGATAGTTGGATTGCAGAAGTCATTGAGATATTACACTGTTCAGCGTAGCAGTTAGTGTCCTCACTATCCTCTCTCTCAGGCACATGTGGGATCAGAGCAGTTTGGACTGCCAGATCACAATGTAGAGCCAATGTAGAGAGCTGTCCAATTGTGGGTCAGCCAGAAGGATCAAGCTGTGTCCTCAAGGCCAATTCTACTATATGCCAGAGAAACTCTATCCTGTGCCTTGAAGTCTCATCTTGACAACCTCTGTAGCATGGTTCCTCTGTCAGATCATGGGGTACAGTTGGTAGGACTGTGCCTATTCCATGGACAGTCAGGGACTGCCAAATCAGGCTGTAGAGATGCTTGGATAAACACCCTGAGGATGATCCTTCACATATATTTATCCCTTATATAGACAACCCTGGGTGGAGGAGGTCTGTGAGAAAACAAAAGTTGTGGCTTGGACAGAATCACTAAATATGTTGTAATGGGCTCTGGACCTGTCACTAGGGACCCTCATAGCTGGAAATGAAAGGTAGAGACAACAAATAATAATGGCATCAGCCCCATTGATTGATACATTGATTAACTGTCCCACAGTGTTGCATCCTGAGTAATTTAATAAGGGAATGTCCCAGGATAAATGACTGGTCTTGAATATAGATTCCATTTACAAAGATAAAGACTAAGAGTTCAAAGAGGAAGGCATATAAAAAGAATTACTAAGGTGAAGGGGGTTCTGAGATTGAGTAGGAAACATCAAACCAGCTATTTTTGATTTGTTGTATGTAGGATATGTTAGACCCAAAAGCTTATCTTACCTCCTTTTCAGGGTCTGTGGCTCGTGCAAGGGTTGAGATAAATGGCAGCTCAGAAGCCCGAAAGTTGCAGGATGAAGCTGCAGAGAGAAGCTCTATGCCTTACAGGGCTCCAGAACTCTTCAATGTAGAATCATTTTGTCACATTGATGAGCGAACAGATGTGTGGGTACGTAGCCAAATGCTGTAAAAGTATTTAACAGTATTTATAGTAAACATATTAAACTAAGATGTTAAGAATGCAAATCAGCTGGAGATATGTGATTTGACTTTTGAAATAATTACTTATTATGCACAGTCTGTCTAATTATAGATATTTTATCCATACATGAGATGTGACCAAAGTTTGTATATTCCTAGTAATTATTTGAATTTTCTTTTCAGTCACTGGGTTGTTTGCTGTACGCACTCTGCTTCTACAGATCTCCATTTGAAGCTGTTTATGAAAGAGGGGACAGTGTAGCCTTAGCAGTAGCAAGTGGAATTACCAAATATCCTGAAAATCATTCATACTCTGAAGTAAGTACATTCTAATATTTTTTTTTATATATAACTACCAAAAATGTTGGATAATAGCATGCAGTCATTTATAGTATTTTGTTTAGTAATCCATTATATATATTTGGTACAGTGTTTTAGTATCACCCATCAGTATATGCAAAGATGCTATATAGAGGTATCAAAGGTAAAATTATGCATACATATTTTATCATAATAGGAGAATTAGATATTACATTATGTGATATAAGTTTTGAATTCCTAGCTAAAATCTTATACAATCACCATAGATTTTGGCAGATAGTGGGAAGAAATTTGGACTGTTAGTGATAAATTCTTTAATGTTAAGCAAAGATTCATTTGTTGTTAATCATATGTCTGGCCTTTTGATGTTAAAATCCATACACCATAATGTCATCCATAAATAAATGACATTATATAGCCACATGTGTAAAAGACTGTCCCTGTAACTTTTTCAAGGAATCCAATTCAGTTATAGTAATCTGGTGAATAATTGATCAGATTATATGTGTGTCTGTTTCACTATTTGTTTCTGTGTTCTCAAGCTGTCAGTATCTGTATGATTTCTCATCTATGAATATATTCACCTTTCTGTTCACCTATCAGTTCATACATTTATCTGTCCACTCTGTCTCTCATCTATCCACCTTCTCACCCACTTGCTCATGACCCTATCCAAGCTATCTACTCATCCATGTAACACCTTCCTTCTTTTGCCTTAGCCATCAACTCATCCATTCATTTATCATCTAATTATTGACCCATCCATTTATTAATTCTTTCAGTTATCTGCCTATTCATTCATCCTTCCAACATCCTTCCAACCATGTATCTACCCAGTCATCAAATGCAATACAAAGATTCATTTTTACATAGAGGTGCATATTCATATTTTGGAATGTCACATTAACAGTAAGCCTATTTGTTTTTCACTTTAGGATCTCATTGAACTTATCAAGAGCATAGTAAAAGTGGATCCCAATGAACGGCCATATCTCGACTCTATCATTGGCCAACTGGATCAGCTTCTCAACAAGTCTTCAGGGGCAGTTTAGTCAGCAGCTGTTCCTTTTGCAATAACATCAGATGGAGATGCAGAGTTATGCAGTGCTGATGTCAAATATGTGGATTTTAATCATTTTGAGCTTTATCATCTATAGCAACTTGTTTATGCAATTGAAGGATAGTGAATCATAGTTGTGTATTTAGTTGTAGTCTACAACACATTCTTTGCTTTATGATTGTGTTTTTGAATATCCTAGACTGACTATTGATTTCTTAAATGAAAAGTTAGTTACAGAAGTTTTATGAAACAACTTTATTATGTGTAAAGTGAATTCTTATATCTAATAAAGTAAAATGGCAGTTGTGCATCATGCTATTTGAGAAAATCAACATATATTTCTAATGAATTGTGTCTTCTGCTATGCATTCCAAATATAAGAATAAGCCTACTTTTAAGAAAATAGGGTAAAGCATTTGTTAATGAAATGAAAAGTGTAATGTAATAGATTTCTCTAAAACTGTAGATTGAAACCTAAAATTTCTTGTTTTTGTATAATAACAGGCTTTTGTGCTTAAATATTTTTATATGCATTGAAGTGTGGAGGAGTTACCATGTTTGATCCTTGTAAGTGTCTTGTCCAAGGTTGTTTAAGTTATCAACATGTATTAGACAATAGCAAGAGGTCTCAGGTACTTATAAAGTAATTTTATTTAGTCGTATTTGTATTTATGTTAAATGAGAGAATTAGGAATATTATTGCAACTACATCTATGTATCTATTCCTAAAAGTTATTGTTTTCTTAATTGCTCATAATGCATTTTCCGTATTTATGTGTTTATATGTTGTCAAAAATGATTATATATGGACAGAATTAATGTAACCAGATTTACTTATTAAGTTTCATAACTCCTTTATGAATATTAGGATTTTCTGTTAATTCCTTGGGTAAAGAGGCTCTAACTGTTTGTATATAGAATGTGTTAATTAGGAAAAGAATACATTTAATTATTGTCTGAAATATATACTAGTCAATGGATGTAAAAGGGATGAAAGAAATACTATGCACTTGTAACTTTCATAAGATATAAGTAAAAGACAGGTTACAGAATTGTCGTAAAACCAACTTTCATTATTTAACGATGACGATAATGATAATCACACTGGGAAATAAAGTTGTTTCAAGTGAAAAAAAAAACACTGACATGCATAACCAGCATCATTTAGTCCACATGAAATCTTTTGTAATTATATTGCTGTTATTCAGCAAGCACTGATATATGACAGTGAAATTTCCTTCATTTCATTCCATTTAAATTCAGCCCATATTTCAGTAATTTTTCAATTAATTTGTGAGTGTCTCACTGTAAGTCAATTTAGTTGTCTTTTTTAGTAACTGAGTATCAGTTAGTTGTGAAAATCAAACTTTGGTGGTGGTCTTCTAATGAATTTAAATAAGCCATTTAGCATAAGCTAAATGACTTAAAGCAATCAATAAATTCTAGGCTTTACATTATAATGCAGTTCTGGGATCATTTTTGAGAAATAAATAAATACTCTGTATGCAATCTACATATTTTGAACTAATCATTGCAAATATTGATACACAGAAAAATAGTTTGACATTTGAACTTACTGCTGGTGGATGGCATCTATACTTGCCATGCTGAGGATGGCCTGAATTTATGATGGCTCCCATGCATACCATGACAGTAGAGGTTGCTGTGTGCTGTGTGCTTTATAGGTATGGAGTTCTATGCACTCCAATGGCAAAAGTTCTTGAGCTATAATTAAAATTATAATTTTTTTATTATTTAGATTTAAAAATAATAATGTAATGGTGAAAATAGTCAATATCAAACTACAGGTTTGGGTCAAATTTCTTCAAATGAATTTCATTTGACCAGATCTTACCAATATACCCAAGCCTTATTTTTCTGATCTTATCTGCTAGGCATGTGAGTACATCTTTAATTGAGTGAAAATCTGTTTTACTGATTACATGGCCAGTAAAACAGCTATTGTCTCTCACTCATTGATTTGATAAATATTAAAATAATTTATAATGATATATGCTGGTCAGCTGATTGCTGTGTATATCTTACAATATGCAACAATAAAAAAAGGTTGTGAGTGGTTGTCTAACTTGTTTCTTTTTTCAATAAAGAGCTTAAAGACAAGGATTTTTATATAAAGAAAAGAACTTCCGTAAGGAGGATGTATGTCTGTAAACCTGGAGTAAAAAAAAAAAAAAAAAAAAAAAAAAAAAAAAAAAAAAAAAAAAAAAAAAAAAAAAAAAAAAAAAAAAAAAAAAAAAAAAAAAAAAAAAAAAAAAAAAAAAAAAAAAAAAAAAAAAAAAAAAAAAAAAAAAAAAAAAAAAAAAAAAAAAAAAAAAAAAAAAAAAAAAAAAAAAAAAAAAAAAAAAAAAAAAAAAAAAAAAAAAAAAAAAAAAAAAAAAAAAAAAAAAAAAAAAAAAAAAAAAAAAAAAAAAAAAAAAAAAAAAAAAAAAAAAAAAAAAAAAAAAAAAAAAAAAAAAAAAAAAAAAAAAAAAAAAAAAAAAAAAAAAAAAAAAAAAAAAAAAAAAAAAAAAAAAAAAAAAAAAAAAAAAAAAAAAAAAAAAAAAAAAAAAAAAAAAAAAAAAAAAAAAAAAAAAAAAAAAAAAAAAAAAAAAAAAAAAAAAAAAAAAAAAAAAAAAAAAAAAAAAAAAAAAAAAAAAAAAAAAAAAAAAAAAAAAAAAAAATTGTGGAGGTATATTTATCGTATCGTAATATCTATTACCATTCTTATCCTGGTTAAGTGTGGTGAAGTGGTGAGCATTTTAGTCAATCTTATAATCAATGCAACAACTGTAAAGACCCAAGATTAGACTTTAATTTTTCCTGTAATGAATTGCAGGGTTTATTATATTATACTTGTGCTTAAGAATATTTAATAATAGTGTTTACCTTTATCATTCTTTTAATGAATATAATTTCCTGAAACCTGGAGTACGAAGTACAGCTCAAGCTAGGGATCATCAAATGTTTTCACCAGTTGATGCCACAAATGTTTAACTTCAAACTTTTGATAATGTTAAAATGATTTTTTTTGTCGTTGTGTATCATGGGTGGGATAAAAAAAACTAATTGCACATCTTGTGATCAAGCTTTGAAATTACTATCAAAAGGTTTTAGAGTGACTTAGCAAAGTTACAGTTGAAGGATGATAGGACAAAAGATTCTGATTCATGAGCTGGTCTGTATATGTTAATAATATTTTTTCTCAAGAGGTACCTTATAGTCTCATGAAGAGGACTCCTATCAAACTACAGAGAGGAATGGCATGCTCTGTTATAAATGGTTGTAATTTTATTTTGAAAAGTTGTATTTACATTATCTTTTTGCCTGGGAGTGTAAATGTTTATAAAAAATATTTGTTTGACTTAGAGAATGAATGGAAAGTGTGTTTACATATCATTGTATGTTAGATGCACTTGATGGTATGTATTATTTTGATATTATTTCATATCTAATGAACAAGATACTTAGTGAAGGTTGTATTATGTCCAGCACAAGAGTTATTCTTTGCTCCTTGTGTAGACACATGAAATAGAAACAATATTAATACTGAATTATAAACATTTTTTGTTGTTATACAGCATGATTTACATATATATACCTTTCTTGTATGACCACTTCCATACTTTGGGAGAAATTTATATAACTATAATTTCTTTAATGAGAATATGTGATTGTTGGTGTTTTGAATGTGCTTTTGAAGTATGGATGGTATTTGACAATATTTATAAATATACTGTACATACAATGAATTTACACAGTTTATAGGGGTATTGTATGAACATATTTATATTGTAAGTGAAATATACTGATTATAAGTACTTTATTTTGTTTTATTTGCAAGGAACATTTAAAAAATCAGTAAAATTGTAAACTCATACCCCGCCCACGGAACTATTTCAGGGTTCTCAGTTCATGAATATAATCTCTCTCTCTCTCTCTCTCTCTCTCTCTCTCTCTCTCTCTCTCTCTCTCTCTCTCTCTCTCTCTCTCTCTCTCTCTCTCTCTCATTGATTATTCATTAATGCGCGGCTTTGTATAATATTTCCCCGATCTGAGAGAGGTTACTCTCTCTGACATTTCCTTGCATTTTCAAACATGCGTTATAAAGGTCAGCTTATTATCAGACGTAACCCCGGTAATTACAATATCGTTTCCGTGTTTTAAAGTTCTCGCTGAAGTATAACCTGGTATTTGACTCTGATTTAGGTATTATCGAGTAGTACTTCATGTGGAGCAATATGGACTAGGCATCTGTTCCCCAGGTGACGATTCTATGTATCCTGGGGTTCATGTTTGCTTCAGGAAAGGGATATTAGCCTTGGCCATAACTTTCGGAGTCGTATCGTCAGGAAAAAAAAATAGGGAACACGATGTAGAAACTCGTTTATGATGTTCTATGTTTATGTTTCCCATTGTAGATTATTTTTAAACTGCGTCCATTAGAATAGATCGCAACATCTACACCTGCAGCAAGCAGTTTCTCAACCATGGAACGATGCCATAATAGATCAATCAAGAGCCACTTTATAGGTACTCTGGCTCTGTGTAAGGCAGCGGTTCTCAATTAGAGTTTGCTGTACAGTAAGTCGAAACATAGGTATCAACTTGCAGTGGAACATTATATGCGTTATGCTGTATCAAGTGCCACTCCTAACATTGAAAAGTCTGGTTACAAGGAAAATTGTATTGATTAAATTTGGAAAGACAGTTTTAGTTGTATATTCTTCAGATCAGAATGTTAGCTTCTCGAAATTCTGTTTTGAAAAAAAAAAGCCTTTGATTCGAAAATGTTTGTTGTGTATGCTTACTTTATCCATACACAAACATGAAATGGTCCACAATATTCTTTTAACTGGGCTCGTGGTCCATGGCCTGAAATGAGTTGAAAACATTAAATGGCGAAAATCAGCGGATGAGCATTTTTCAAAGCCTTTATTATCTGGACGGTTAGAGGTGCTCTGACAGCGATTACTGTCATTATGAAGTCTGCTGAAGACAGGAAACAAAGATACAGTCTAGTAAGTCTTTATTTCATGTTTGTTCTATTTTAATGCCGATTTTCCAGTTTGTTGCCTACTGCATAAATTGAAGACAGAGGGCGTGCTAGTTTTTAACGAATATTCTGAGAAGGCATAGGTCTAAACCATGACAGATCTGAGGCTTTTGTTACGTCGGTCATGCTTCTGTATATTTAAGAGAGTCTTAGCGCGGCATTCCAATTGCTGGCTCATATAATTTTTTAGACCTTCATTCCCCTACCTAGATTAACTGTCAAATCCTGATCCATTCCTTAGATATTTACACGGGGCTTTATCAAATTCTCCGTCGTCAAAACTTGTGATGAGAGTTGCCCACTTATCGGAAAAGGGTCAATGAACAACACTACTAGTTCAAGGGATGAGCCCGAAATGTGCGTCACAAAGATGACATGGTTGTTCAGGTCATTAATAGCCAATAAACTATTCAAAGACGTTTTAATGTGTCTGAAATATTTGTTTGGGTTTAAATTCCCGACTGGATGGATGCAGTTGCAAGTTTTCACTCGGTATTTGATCCAGGTTCTCTAACAAAAAGTCCAGTAGAATTAAGCCTTGTGTGGGTGCATAATAACAGCCATAACTATCAACAAATATTTTCCACATCAAAAGTTGTAATTCATAGAGAAGACGTGGGCGTTGAATGGGATTTGCTGGTCCATTTCTGGTCATGTTCTGACATGCTTCTAAGGGATTATATACACTGGGATTGTTCCTGTAATAAAAAGCTATCTCGTGCTGAAACGAACTATTGTGTTGGGTTTACGTTCGTGTGGAACTATTGAATATTAGCAAATATAATCGTTAGCTCACTAGCAAAATGTTTGTTTCGGGCGCATCTGCTGTTGTTGTTTGAGATTTCCGAAAATCTAGCTTCTTATCCACGATAGTGGCATTTGAAATAAAAGCAAATCTGTTACCGTAGATAGATGACACCTGTCTTTCTTTAGGGTTCTTTCTCTAAACCTCCGTACCACCTCTTGTGGTGTCCATTTTCCCCCTAGTTTTTGTACCTCATGAATTTACGCTGTTGTTAAATCAACAGAAGAAGCTGGTTTTGCTAGTGATGCTGAAGAGAGAGAGATTGGCCTTGTTAAGACCGACCTATAATGTTTCTCCTTCCTGGGATGCGTTCGCTAGATGTATGTGCGTTTCTCCCACTCCTCGCCAAATGCTGTTATCACGCACGGATACACACAAACACATATACACACAGTCACACACACACGCACACGCACACGCACACGTGTGTGTGTGTGTGTGTGTGTGTGTGTGTGTGTGTGTGTGTGTGTGTGTGTGTGTGTTTTCAAATATATATGTAAGTTTGTCTGTCTATCTGTCGGTCATTCTGTTTGTCTGCATGTAAGTATGTATATCATTCTGTATGTATGGATGTACGCAGGTTCATAAGAGCGTTCGCCAGTGCGGAAAACGTATATGAAACCCTAGGAACACTAGCTGTAGCTCCGTATTACTGCTACTTCGAAATATATTAGTTGTTGCCACGATTTCCTGGATTCGGTGAAAGGTTCGGTCTTCCAGTTAAATTGTGGAACGTAACTATGATGCTTAAGTTTTCTAAAATTGGTCTTTTTTCGAGTAAGAATTATAGATTAACGTTTTTTTTTTTTTTTTTTTTTTTTTTTTTTTTTTTTTTTTTTTTTTTACGGAGCCAAAAATTTAACTAAGGAACAGTTCAGTGTTGGTAAACATTTTTTACAGGCTTAATATATATTAAATAGAATGGATATTGTTTAATGAAATCCGCTCTTTTTCACACACACACACACACACACACACACACACACACACACACACACACATATATATATATATATATATATATATATATATATATATATATATATACATATATATCCCAATGGTGCCGGGGAACATGAACAAAAAATGGAGAAAATGCTGTGCACACTTTCTATGTTTTTCGTGAAATGTCTGTCGATAGATGGCTCTGCTAGCGCCTGATTTGAAATGGCGGGAAAAAACACATTTTTCACTAGTGCTATGAAAATCGATGGTTTTATTTTTATCATAAACATTATAATTTTTATAATGTTTTTTAACATTAGTAACAGCAAAATAAGATTACGTAAAATATTTTGTAAATCAAAGAAACGGGTAAACGGCGAGACGGGCGGTGCTCGTAACTGGCTCATTGGGGAGTTAGAACAAGTGTTGCCATCTATGCGTAAAAACAATCAAACAAGTACTCACGGTGGGCATAGCACGTACGTACACGTCATACCCGGCACCAATGGGATATATACATATATATATATATATATATATATATATATATATATATATATATATATATGTATGTATGTATGTATATATATGTATATATATTACATATATTTATTATTTGAATTACATATATATATTATATATACATACATACACACACACACATACACACAAACACACACACACACACACACACACACACACACACACACACACACATATATATATATATATATATATATATGTATGTATATATATATATTTATATATATATATATATGTATGTATATATATATATATATGTATGTATATATATATATATATAAACACACATATATATATATATGTATGTATGTATGTATGTATCTATATATCTATCTATCTATCTATCTATCTATCTATATATATATATATATATATATATATACAAAGATAAAAAAGTTAAAATGCATCATCATCCCTTTCCAAATAGATGTGAAGGAGATATTAAAGATACCAGACCTCATCCACCATTCCCTGCAACCTTGGCAAGGACAGAAAAGAATGAAGTGAAACCGACCAATCAGACTTGGCGCGGGATTGACTGCAACAACTAAGAAATCCCTCGATTTTCAGGATTTTCTTATTTTGTTGCGCAAGCCAGATCAGTTTAGGGATAAGCCGTAGTTGCTTCAACTTGCTCTCGCTTTTGGATAATGTCGCCTTTTGCTGGAAAGTGGAAGGGAAAGAGTAATTCCTTTAACACCTTTTATTTCATGCAGAAGTCCTCAGTATAAAATCATCTTTGCGCATCGTTCAGATACATCAGAACGAGGCTAAAGTCTTAATCAGACTACAACTCTAAACGTGTATATTTCATCAACTTTTCATCAGCTAGGTTTTATTTTTTCGAAGGTTAAGTCAATTCATCTTGCCTGGTGTAAATATTCACTTTCAAGAACTCGCTTACGAACAAAAAAAAGAACCACTTGTTCCTATTCGAACTTTTATGGTTAATAACATATATTATTAGCAAAATAAATGAATTCCAGAAAGGTTTTATATAAAGAATGAAAGCCATTATCCCTAACTTCGTAAAATACATCCCTAATATTATATGGCAGATCAGGGAAACAACTTTGAACTTTCTGTCTGAGTTTATTGTCCCCAACATGAGGTACCAATAAGACAGAAAAAGCACATCACGATGAAAATATCGTGGGAAGAAGAGGAAAGAGGTAATTAAAATCTACCCTTACACTGATGAGGTTAACAGATTAGCACCTACTGAAAATTCCACGAAAAAATACAATTTTGTCATTGAGTCGCTTCGGAGTGAAACAATAAAAAGTCCAACCCACATGCAAACAACTACTTCAAGTAAACCTTGTCTCATTTGTCTCAATTTCACTTATACCACTGAAATCAAAACATGCTTATGCGTTTGCCTGGTTCTTCACTATGACTTCCGTCTGCGGATCCTCCCTCCCCATCCTCCACCAGCTGACTCGCTTTTCTTCGAAATAGTCCTGGATCTCCTCGAGTGTCTTGCCTTTGGTTTCCGGAACGAAGAGGAGGGTGATGAAGCCGCACACGAGGCTCAGAGAACCGTGTACGAGAAAGACGGTGGAAGCTCCTGCTGCCTCCTTGAAGTGAGGGAACACCTAAATGAGGAAGGGAAGAGTCAAAAGCATTTTATTGTATAAGATAAATGCAGACCGGTTAACTCCTATATCAGCATTCATTTATTCCCTAACCAATATTTATTTTGAATGACATGCCTGTATCATGGTGAGATTGAACAGCCGGTTGAAGAAGATGCACGCCGAGTTGGCGGTGGACCTGATCGTCGTGTTGAAGAGCTCGGCGGCGAGGAGCCAGGGCACGGTGCGACAACCGAGGCAGTACCCCGAAGCCGCGACAAGCACCGTGACCAAGGCTACCCAGCCAGGGAGCGCCACACCCTCATCCCGCAGGTAATAATATCCAGACAGCGTGATACCTGCCGCCCCCAGTATCCACGTAGACATGACAATCAGCGGGCGCCGTCCGAAGTTATCCATCAGCAAGACAGACACTCCCGTGACTGTCAGCTGGCACACGCCCATATATACAGTCGACAATTGCGGGTTGTCAACTCCGGCGGACTGGAAGACGGTGGCGGTGTACATAACCAGGATGTTGCCGCCGCCCACCTGTTGCGTTGCCTGCATGAAGAGCGCCGTGATGAAGGGCACGCGCGTCCGCCGCCGCAGCAGCTCCCTGTACTGAAGGGAAGCGCCGACGGAGCTAATCTTGGCGTCCATCTCCTTCAGTTCGCTCGCAATGTCGTAACGAGGGCCTCGCAGCCACCTAAGGGCCTTCGCGGCGTCCTCCCTCCTCCCCTTGAGCAACAACCAGTACGGAGATTCCGGCACCAGCGTGAGAGCCAGGAACATGAGGAACGCCGGAATGGAACACACGTAACAGCTGGAGCGCCACGAAAATAGAGCCCCGGCCAAGTACGACAGCAAGAAGCCCAGCGTGATGAAAAGCGACGGAATGGACGCCAAACGACCTCTCAGGCGCGCCTCAGGTGTCTCGCTGCTGTAGACCTGTGGAGCCGAGAGGAGGATGGGGAAATTCAGGCGATATTTTCAAGCCTGAGCGTCAGTGGGTTCGAAACGGGAAGGGAAGGAAGATAGAGAAATAGACAGGTAGAAAGAGAGAAAAACAAACCGAGAGAGAGAGAGAGTGTGTGAGAGAGAGAGAGAGAGAGAGAGAGAGAGAGAGAGAGAGAGAGAGAGAGAGAGATTACAATTACACATAGAAATTACGGAGGAAGAAGGATAGCAGTGTAATCTGACTATTATCGCAAAATATTTTATGGATGATTTTTATTGTAAATGAGGATAAGAATAAGAGAATAAGAAGAGAGAAGGAGAGACACACAGGCACACACACACACACACACACACACACACACACACACACACACACACACACACACACACACACACACACACACACACACACACACACACACACAAACACACACACAGGGAGGGAAAGGGAGAGGGAGAGAGAGATAGAGATAGAGATAGATAGATAGAGATAGAGATAGACAGATAGATAGAGATAGAGAGAGAGAGATAGAGATAGATAGATAGATAAAGAGAGGGAGGAGAGAGAGAAAGAGAGGAAGGAGAGAGAGAAAGAAAGGGAGGAGACAGAGAGAAAGAGAGGGAGGAGAGAGAGAAAGAAAGGGAGGAGACAGAGAGAAAGAGAGGGAGAAAGAGAGGGAGGAGAGAGAGAAAGAGAAAGAGAAAGCAAAAGAAAAAGAAAATTAAGAAAAGACTCTGCATGGAAACACACACACATGCAACAGAAAACAGATACCAGCCCACTTCCCTGTGATATACAGACCAATTATGAAAACTGGTCTTAGCTCTTCGCTGCAGCCCAAATAATAGTTATAATGTATCCTGAGAAACACACACGCAAGGCGCTCGCACTCACACTTTGAGAATGACTTTCCTTTGCACCTGATAACAATTATGGCCGAAATTACAGAGTGAGAAAGATAGCAATGTAATATGACTGTTATCGCAATATGTTATATGGCTCATTTTCAGTGTGAAGAAGAAGACGGAAGACGAAGACGATGAAGAAGAAGAAGAAGGATAAGGAAAAGAAAAAACAAATCAGGTCAAAATGTTATGGCGTAGATGTAATTATAATGTTCATGATTTATTGTCAGAAGGACCGGCTATCATGGTACATTTAAAAGGTGTATAGTAATGCTAATAACACATACATCTTACTGTTAGTTAATAAATTCATCATTATTTTAATTCTGCTAAGATATATTGAGATTCCTCGGTATTGCTCTACGTCAGTTAAAGACAAAAAGTTTGTTGCCTCTAAAACTCTATAATTAAGGCCCTAGACTCTTTCCAAGTGCAAACTGTATGCCTTTGAAGTTTCAGGAACCGAATTATCAAATATTGCTCTGAAGTTTCATAATTCGGTCATTTCCTTCTCACTATGTTTTTTTCAACGTTTCCTAGGTATCTTCATTACTCCATTCTATCTTTTTATTCGCTTTTCTTCTTCCTATCATCTTTTCTGCTCTTCTCCTTCAATCTATTTATTTAGTTAGTTATCCATTTGCATACCCTTCTCTTCCCTCGTTCCATTATCTTGCATAAAGGTAAATTCTGAAACCCGTCATTTCCGAGCGCTTAAGATTATCCACAAAATTATATAATTTAGCAAAAGTCATCCTATCTATATGTATATATATACATATTTATCAACAAATATTATTTTTGTATATATATCAGTTAACTTGTCCATCTACTTCTGCTGTTTTGTTTCTTTTTATATCAATTTACTTGTTAACCTACTAATACGATTATTTCTCTTGTTCATATATATATATATATATATATATATATATATATATATATATATATATATATATATATATATATATATATATCCTTTTACGCATTCATCTACAAATATAAGTTCTCCATGCATCAGTTTACTAACCCATCTCCAAATACCTAAAAGGATTAAATAGCAATTCCGCATAGCTAAGTGTTGGCCTGACATTTTACAGCGACTGCGCTCAGAACAGTCACTCGGATTAATTAGATACGCGGGGATTACCAGCAACGCAGACGGGACGGATTTCATTTTCCGCGCGTGAACTATAATGCAGCCATGTTAATCAAAATCGCTTCTGTGTGTGCAGTTCCATTATCCTCCCCCCTCCCCGAAACAGTGCAAGGTTAGCGTAGAATGACATTGGCATTATGGTACATGAATATGTTCAATTTGTTTAAGGGAAGATCCTAAATTGCGTCTCTCTTCGGATGTAAGTATTGGAAGGTATTAGTCATCCGGATAAAAACTATACATTCATTTGATTTATTTCTCATATCAGTTATCAAGATATTTTTTTCTTACTAACAAAACACTGTTGTCAAAAAGAATGTAACTTTTATAATCTGTCATAGATGATATGTAAATCAAATAATTGGATATATATTATCATCTGCAAAT